GAGAGAGAGAGAGAGAGAGAGACACACACACACACACACTGAACGGCCGCTGGACTCCATTAACGCAAAAGCCTCCAGGAGCTCCGCCGCTGGACGCGATTTTGTTCTTTTTCGGGAACCTTCCTCATGATAGGATTAAATACGCGGTCGAAGGAAAGAAAACGCGCAGCGTGCTGAAGCTCCGGGGACTGAAGTGGTGTTTTGCGGATCTGTTTCGGCGTATTTGGGAAGGTTAGTGAACGCTATGATTTCACCCAGGCTCTCTCAGGATCGGTCTGGCGTACGTTACTCCGCAACTCTGAATACAAACCGTTGCGCTCTTCAAACCCGACTGCTTACTTTAATTCGAAAGCCTACGCTCGTATTCGACCAGAAAGCGAGTAAACCGTAACTTTCCCAGTGGTTTCGGTGTGTTTTCTATCATTGACCTCCTGGCTCTCTGTGTTTAGCTGGCGTTTGGAGCGGGGCTGCTGACGTCATCGGAGCCCTGGCTCGAGTTTGACCGTTAGTTTCGGAGCTAACTTACAGGTTTAACTTCACTAAACTAAAACCACCATAACCTCCAGGATTTACTGCGATTTATAACATGGGGCGGCTGGTATGATTTAACTACTTAAGCATTTAGTTCACACAGATTTCTAGAAACAGCCATTCAGTTTAAATGTGCTTTTTTGGCATGAACTGTACCGTCTGTAATGTACAATATGTAATATTTAATAACTCTAATATCATTTTCCAATCCTAAAGTGTTTTATGTGTTGTTGTTTTTTTGCACATCTACTTGCAGTTCATTGATAAAGTGTTGTGTCTGTGTACATTGCTATTAGCTCAGAAAGTAAGGTTAGTGTGCTGCCTCTCTGGAGTGCATCATAAGTGCTCAGTCCAAAATGTTGTCTAGGTGGGAAGCTGACTAGCTTTTGAGATCTATCATTTTAAAGCACTCTTAAGAGGGCACTTACTTGCCGGGCATTTGGTGTGAGCTAGCTGGTGCGTATTTGATGGTCTTGTATTTTAGTTTTTATGTTTTTGCTGTCTTAGTTCTGTTTTATATGTTGTTCTATTGGAAAGCACTTTGGTCAACATGAGTTGTTTTTAAATGTGCTGTACAAATAAACCAACAAACAAAAAAATCTGTATTTCAGTCTGAAGGGCTTTGATTTTGATTTAGCCTGTAGGCCACTAGTTGCTGAAGTTGACCGATCATAATGGTCTTTGATGCTGTTTCTATAGGATGGCGTTGGACGGTATACGGATGCCGGATGGCTGCTACGCAGACGGGACCTGGGAGCTGAAGATGCATGTCACTGACCTCAACAGGGACGTGTCTCTCAGAGTCACCGGGGAAATCCACATCGGCGGTGTGATGCTCAAACTCGTGGAGAAACTCGGTACGTACAGTTTCCACCCTTCAGGATGAGTTTGCGGTCACCGAGCCGGACAATGCTCACGCTTACCGCGGTTTCATTGACTCACGGTCGGCTTACACACGATTGTTCACTGGAAACTGAAATATAGTACACAGATTCAACTATAATTCATCATACACTGAATTCAGACGTCCAGCGTAAAGTTTAATGTGAACTTAGTGATTCCTGCTACTCTGTAGCAGGTATTCTTACATTATTTATAATAATAAACCAATATATATATAGACCAAACTGTTTAATTGGTTAATATTTGCTAGATTTCAGACTATAAGCATTGACTGAGCCATAATAGCAAATGTGCTATTATGAAAACTCTAAAAACATTGTCAGCCAATCAGAAACCAGCTGACTTTAAAGAGCTCCAGCATTTAAACTGGCAAACTTCATCTTGCACATATAATAAACAGAACATAAGTTGGTGTGGATGCTAAAATAGTTATGTTCTTGGTGTGAACGGGCCATCATCAATTGGTTTTATCAGCCACCCTGTTCTCTAGATGTTGAATCGGTTAATGAAAAACCTTAAAGGTTGATTGCTAATTATTCCCTTGCATTTGTTTTTGTGTCAGAGATTGAGACCAATTTATTTTGGTTAGAAACGAGGGTTTGGATGATATTAAATGTACCATAGTCTGCTTCCTCGCTGTTTTCTTGCAGTTCATCCTTGTTTAGAGCTACAGAACAAATCAGCCTTTGTTTCCGTGCTCTTCCCACTCCATGAAGACATGGTTATATGAAAGAGGAAGATGGAGAACACATGTCTACTAATTCTCCCTTGTGAAGGGCTTGCTGTGTTAGCAGCTACATTTTTCTGAATGTGTTGTTTGGTGTGCTTGTCGGCACTTAATAGTGGCTTAAAAAAAGTGTTGCTGTAAACTATCAGCTGTGGCATCTGTTGTTATCTTCTCTGCTGTTGAATGTGGCACACCAGGACCTCCTGCGGCTCTACCTTCATCTTAGTGCAACGATGTAAAAAGCAGCTTTGTTTGAGGGTAGATGTGTGAGAAAACTCATTCAGGGTCTAGTTACCCATGCATTAACCCTGTAAACTCTTCAGGAATGTGTAGTGGTGCTATGGGAGAGAGCTTGTGCTAGTTTAAAGCACATGTTAGCTATTAACCCCTCAGAGAGAGAGACTTTCAAACATCATTTCTTCATGCATGCTGCTGGAGGATTCCTGCTTGGAGCAAAACAAAAATGTCAGTGCTTCGTTACTGTCTTTTGGTGTTGAGAAATATTGTCTGTTGGCTCATTAAACAAACAGTGGCACAGCTCTTGCGATGCCAAATACTATATAGATAATATGCATAATAAGACGCATTATGCGATATACAAAACCAGTCCTAGCACCAGAGTTGGCTGTGCTGTTGGTCATCAAAATCGTCTTTGTACTATTATTAGGCCCACACGAAATTTGTACAGTACGCAGAATTAGAAAACCTATGATTCACAAATTCCTACTCATCCTTCACCCACTGTGTGTTTCTTTATTATATATTTTGCCTTCAGCTGCCATTAGGAGTGCAGTACTCTTTGCTCCGTTTACCTTTCTGCTCGCTTTTGACCCTTTTCAAAATGGGTTTCAGACTCTGTTTGGATCTGGATATTAGTACTATTTTTGTCTGTTGGCTCGTTAACCCTATAAAGACTATTGTATCATATTTGATACTTACGTTTACATTTACATTTACATTTTTTCATTTAGCAGACTTATCCAAAACGACTTACAATTGAGGAATACAACAAGCGATTCATCATAAAGAGGCAAATGAACACTGGAAGTGCTCGTAATACAAAGTTTCAGACATTGTTCAGATTAGTACAAGCTAGACAGGGAGGGATTAAGGAAAGGGTAAAGAGAGTTTATTTATTGATTTATTTTTTTTAGGATACAGTCAAATGTTGACGAAAGAGATGAGTTTTCAGCTGTCGCTTGAAATTGTCAGGGATTCAGCATTCCGGATGGGGGTGGGAAGATCATTCACCAGTCAGGAACAGTGAACGAAAATGTTCTGGAAAGTGATTTTGTGATGGTACCACGAGGCGTCGCTCACTTGTAGATCTCAGGCTTCTGGAGGGGATGTAGATCCGTAAGAGTGAGTGGAAGTAGGACGGTGCTTAGCCTGTGGCTGTTCTATATGCAGGTCTCAATGTCTTAAACTTGATGCGAGCCACAACCGGTAGCCAGTGCAGGGAGATAACGAGAGGTGTGACGTGGCCCTTTTGGGCTCGATGAAGCCAAGTCGTGCTGCTGCATTCTGAATCATTTGAAGTGGTTTGATTGCACATGATGAAAGTCCAGCCAGAAGAGCATTGCAGTAGCCTAGAAATGACAAGGGCCTGGACAAAAAGTTGTGCAGCATGCTCCGTTAGGAAGGTCTGATCTTTCTGATGTTGTGCAGTGCAAACCTGCATGATTGAGCGGTTTTTGCAATGTGGTCTTTGAAAGTCAGCTGGTCATCAAAGATCACGCCAAGATTTCTGAACATATAGCCTATGCAAAGTAAAGGTTCAATTCAAATGTGTTTTTTCTGACTGTTATTTCATAAGTCAGGCTTTACAGGGTTAAACAGATCAGCGGTACTGCAGGTTCTTGGATGCTTTGAGCTCTCTGGATGCCAAATACCATACAGATAATGTGCACATGTGTTCATTTTCTCTTTTGACATATTGTGGAATCTGAAGTAATGGATAAGGTGAAACCACCATCATATTGTTAGAGTTGGTTTGAGTAGAGCCGTGCCGATCATGACAGGGTTATGCTGTTTGTTTTAATCTTGAGCTGTTTGTCACTAATCTTATTTGAATCTTTCCCTTCATCCTGCTGTAATATTGGTGGATATTTAAGAACAGGCGCTTCTAAATTGTTCTCAAGTGACCGCCATCACATGATGAGCTCTGTGATTGGTGGAAAGAGGTCGAATGACTCTTCTTTCTGTGACTTTCATTTTGGCCTTTTGTGATCACTGTGAGCTCGACCTGTCTGTCCTGCTTTAAGAAGACAAAGATGCCATACGCCTCTGGCGTTCATGACCTTTTTGTCTCATGAAATTCATTCTGTACCCTTGACATGATATGCCTGTCCTGCTCATCTTTTCTTTTACATTTATAAAGTACTGAAGTCTGTTGTTTGGTCTTTGCTGTAATTTAGAACTACGAGTGTATATGCAAACCTCAATTGAACCAGCCAAACATCTCTCATATTGGCCTTTGAAATGAAAAGTTGCTGTTTAGTAATAGCAACACATTCTTTTTAAAGTAACACAATTGATTATATTTTGTAGAACAAAATGCCACTCATTTGTTCAGTTGTCCAGTTCATTTGTGCAGCTTAGTGCTTTTCAGACTCTCCAAATGTATTCCGATCATCTCAGGATCACTTATAATGTGCAACAAATTCACTTTGACATTTGTGCAGTTCTTAATAATCTTAGGTATTCATTTCAAACAAGTTAACTGAACTTCCTTAACTCACTTAAATGCTTGCAGGAAGCTGTGTTGGACACAGCCAAAATTAGCCTGTAAATAAGAGTCCTGAGCACAGCTTGACCAAGTAACATTTTGTCATTTTTCGCATGGATTATTTTATCTTATGGTATTAGGGTTGGGTACCGAAACCCGTTACCAATATGGCACCGGTACCTATGTAACCGGTATGTACTAGAACCGAATCCAAACGCAGATTTCGGTGCCATGTCTGAGTGATCGATTGAAATATTTGTCCTCTGGTTCTCCAAAACGGACATAAGAAGCATCATCACTGGCACCGCACGTGAAAAACAATTTCCCGACTGAGAAAATGCACGTGAACTCAAGTCGGAAAGCTCTAATAATACAAATCCAACACATCTTTGTAGTAACGAGAGTGTCCATGTTGTTTCCACACTCCGACTTAAAAGCACAACTCAGGGACATATCCTCTTTTTGGACCTACAAAAATGCGTCTGGCAGGGATTTCTTAATTGCCCGAAATGTCTGGGATTCGGCTGTTTTCTTAATCCCACTCCCGCTGAATCTCTGACCATTGCCGCCTGCTCCCGCAACGTGTTTCGCTCCCGGGATTTTCGTGTCCACTCATTCTAATATTGTATATAATTTTGGCACATCAGGGAGCCGCCCTCAGGATGCGGTGTATTTAAATATTTTTTAATGAGCGTTTGCGCTGTTTACTTTCACTTTCGATTTCGCGATCACACGCACTCTGTGTAAAGGGAGCAAACAC